TCCTGCTGCATTCCTCTTTGAAGACATTTACTCTCTGGGTGTCTTCTCCTGAGACATCCTATTTCTCAGCATTGGTGTAGCTCCATCTACAAAACTCAAGACATGTCCAGGTAACAAATGTGCTTCTTGTGTAGCACCTAAAGGAGAAGCAATCAACAGGAGAAGCAATCAATACTTCCAAAGACTCGGCTGAAGAACCTGTATAGTCATAAGAGGCAAAACACCATCACAGATTGAAAGCTGAGCAGGTTAATTTCCATCCTGACAGAAGGTCAACAGTGACATGGCCAAAATTTAATAGTAGAAGTAAGAGGGTGTGGTGTATTTATTTAGTTTTAGAATAAGGATTGGTAATGAGAGTTTAACTGTTCAGCACTGAATATGAATTTAGCTATGCTGTTTTGAAGTTATTAATTTGTAAACTAGGGATTCAGTTTTGGTATCCACAGCACAACATTCTGGTCAAGGTTATGCCAATACATGGTTAAACAACAACAAAGAAGTTTAATTAAAAGAAATATATTAAAAATGTGTCTACACTTAGAATGAATAAATTTTAGAAGATAATACTTAAGACCAGAGTCCTTTTAAAATGTAAAAATGGATTTTAATCACAGAGAAGTTTGAAATGCAATATCTTTACAACAAAATTTGAGATGTCTAATTTCAGTTCTTATTATACTCATAGATAAATGTGGCTTCTTGTGATGGAAAATGCCCGTCTGCAACAATTTTCAATGTCAATATTGATACCCATTTAAGATTCTGTAAATGTTGTCAAGAAAATGGAACACGTAATCTGACTGTGCCACTGCGCTGCTCAGGAAACGGCACTGAAATTATGTACATCATTCAAGAGCCTATAGAATGCTCATGCCAATGGAACTGAACATTCCTGTGGATATGATTTAGTATGAAGAATTTAAAGGAGTTTCAGCAGACTTTTTTTGACCTTGGATGGCTGTAGTACACTGCAGGGATAAAAAAAAGATATCCTCAATTATGCTTTATAATATAACTTTTCACAGATTTAGTAACGATGATGTTGTTCTTCAGACTTTCTTTTAAAGTACTGGCATGTATAGAAAGAAAAATATAAATCCTTTTGAAAAAGGGTATAATTTAGCCATCATTTATTTCTACTCACTGGGGCTTCTGACGAGTTGTTGAAAGCTGATTAATGCATATGTTTTAAAATTCTGGATTGTGGCTACCTGTGAAAGTTCAGAATTTCTCAGTGGTTCTTTTCCTTTTATTTAGAAACTTCCCATTGAGAACCATCACTGGTCTCATGTTTAAATGGGAGTTTGATAATGACTAAATAAAATAGTGGGTTCAACTGAAACATTTTTTACCTTGCTGAAAAGTCTATCTTTTGTCCATTAAGCTGTTGTCATTGAGTGGACTCTGCTTACACTGTAAGTCACGGAGAAACATCATGACTATTGTCTGTAAGTACCTGTAGTAAATCTCCAGAGAATATGGTAGAATCATAATAATGTCTTTAAACCTGAGACCTTCAAATAACTTTTATATATATTATAAATACAAAGCATGACCAGGAAAAGGCTGAAGAGTTCAAGCTTCTGTGCCTTTATGAAAAATATCTGAAAGCTGTTTCTGATATGAAAGACTCTATATCCATTTATCAGCTTTCACAAATAAGAAATTGGGCCTATACTAGCTGTAGAATAAGATTCTATGTATATATATTTATTTAAAAAATAGGATATTGCACATTTTAACTATCCGTTATGGGTTTCTTGCTTTGTTTTCATAGAATGATAAAATGGTGTGGGTTGGAAATCATCTAGTTCCAACCCCTGCGTCACAGTCAGGGAGACTTTCCACTAGACCAGGTTGCTCAAAGCCCATCCAACCTGGCCTTTCCAGTTTGAACACTTATGTTGAGTATATTTTTATAAAATATGTAAGATTTTGTGTTTGTTTGTTTGTAATACTGAGATTTGGAGTCTATTTAGGATTCATCATTTTTGAGTCCAGGAAAAAAACCATCCAGGTTAAATATATGTTTTGAAGGGGTTAGGTAAGCTATTCATGTCAATCGGGTGGTGAATGTCCATGACTGAGCATCTTAAGCTGAACATACTCTTTCATTAAACATATCACATAACCTTACCTTAAAAATGAAAGATATGGTTTTAGGCTTGGTTTTAGAACGTTACTTTGCTTTATAAACTTGCTGAATAAAACTAATTTAAATGACGACACTATTTTCACGGAAATTGTTTCAGGATTAAAATCCGTCTTTAAAAGTCTGAAAACTTTGTGACAAAGTTTTTATTTCAAGCTGTCATTTAATTACAAAAAGGTTGGTTTATCACATTGGTTTATACAATGAAAAACAATAAAAAAAAGATTTCCAAGACTATTTTGCTACTTTGTGTGACAGATCTTTAAACATTTGCTGTATTCAGTTTGATGGCTTATAAAGAAAAATAGTATGTACAGTGAAATAATCCATCTTTACTAACAAGACTGTCACCTCCTCATCCATCTCCTTAGAAATAGTGACTTGGTTTAAAAATTAAAGAACAATCCATTGTATTATCAGTAAAATATTTAACCATTATAAAGAAACAGTGATCACCTAGCAATCCAAATAAAGTGCTATTCTGAGAAAGCATATGCTTCATTTGCATGTTTTTATTATTTGTAACAGCAAATATTTCAAGTTTTTTTACATACTATGGCCTAGAACCAAAATATTCTCTGACATTACTGTTGGAATTTGTGTACAGCAACTTTTCATGCAGCCAGGAATGGAAATGAAATCTTAGTAATAGCTGGAAAATTTGTGTACTCATGCAGCAAATTAAAATGACCTTTTGGTTTATGAACATAAAGACAGGAATCCTATATTTGCATCAAGAAAGTTTGGCCCATAACTCCTTAATGAATTTAGTGTTTGATAAATTACTTAAGGAAGCTCCTACAGAATAGCACTTTTCCATATAATAACCAAACACTTGCTGTGCTTTAATAAAACAGCTGTGCTTTTTGTAAGTAATGTGCTTTTCTAAGATTTAGAACTATATTTGTAATTAAAGAGAAATTAATAAACATTATTTTGCGGAATAATAAATGTTGATGCAATTACTTTACCTGTGCCACTGAAGATGAATGACAGTGCAAAATCTTAGATGAACCAAAAAATGATAAAGGCAATTACACTTAAAATTAACTCCATGATAACCTGTAATAGGAAAATGACATTAAAATAACTTTTCCCCACTTACCCAATTTATATTTTTGACTGCAACAATCAGCAGGATTACAGCTGTATCAGGATCCTCCCCCGAAATCTACAGCAAAATCTTACACCTTCACTGGAGCTGGATATGATCTAAGACTGCCTTTCATTTTACCATTAAACTTCAAATTCAGGCTACTTTGTCCTGGTCAGAAAGCAAACATCTATTAACCCTTGGGAACCATCTGCTGGACAGCCATTACACCCCCATCACCTCCATGAAGGTGACACTGGCATGATGTGGTATGTTTTATACAATGTGAACTAGCCCCCAGAGGATTTGCAACAGAGAGAAGGTATGAATCAGCCTGCAGTGTGGCACATGTGTTCTGATCCAAATGTTCCCTCTGTTTGCCACTTAAATGTAGATACAGTTTGTAGTTCTGCCTTGGTTTCTTCATCTCTCTTCAGTGCTGCATTCTTGCTGAACCCCCAGCCTTGAAACGTGTGTAACCCTGTTTGGACAGGCACCTTGTGAGCTGCTTTGGAAAGCTGATCCAACTCAAACCTAACCTACTTAAATACCAAAATTAATTAGTTTTCTTACTATTGACAGAGCTTTAATACCCACAGAGTTCCCTCCCTTCTACCCCCTCTCACTTAAGTTCTACTCCTTTAAAAAAAACCAAAACGCTGGGAATGTATGCCTCTCTCAAACTCCCACGCTGCCACTGGAAAAGGCAAGGAACTGGGGAGAATCTGTGTGCACAGCTACATGCCTGCCTTATGCTCCAGTCTGCTGTGCCCTGCCAGTTCCCCCATCTGTACCTGGTTCCACCTGTCCTTCATTCCTACATTTCTGCTGCTTTGTTCTCCTACTTGTGGTTGCAAAAGGAATTCCTCAATATAAAGGCTTACCCATAAAACTATGCAGATTTTTTAGGGGATAATGTAAATATATCTCTATACTTAAGACTATAACTAACTAAGCCTCTGTAACACAGTAAAGCTTTCACCTATAAAACAAGGAAACTTGAAAAATTATCTGTCCATTGTCATTAACAAGTCACCACAGTTTAGGGTGGAAGGGCGTACTCTGAACTGATGCACACTGAACTCTAGCAACTGCAAATACAATTCACTAACTACTCCTTGGCAGCCACATACTGACCATTTTCAAACTGCCTTTTTTGCCTATTTTGACACATAATTCTATAGACCTATCAGGCGTTCATGCGCCTATCAAAATCAGTGGTAAACGATTCTCTAAGATCAGAGATTTGAGAATCTCACTCAAAGGAGATAGTCTAAAAACGTCTTATATAAGTAGTTTCTACTTTCACAAGTAGCTTTTGTATGAAGAATGAGGCAAGTCAGAAAGCTTCTTCCGTACTGATGCTGCATTCTGGAGAAAACCAACAGTGAATGATGTTAAAACTTAATCATGAGAACTGCTGACTAAAAGGAAAGAGTTTTGGTTTGGGGAGTGTTCTTTTGATTAAGGTGGAATGTGCCATGAACACTTAATTTAATGAGGTCAAAACAGAGAGGGCTCCCGCAGTTGTTTTGAAAATCGCCCCACTAATAAAGCCTCCCTCTGCTCAGTGATCACAAAGTGCTCTGGAAAAAAACAGTGTATCTGCCCTGTAGAACAGCTGAATGGGCACAGCTTACTTTCGGTCTCGACAGCTACAATAGCCGGTGCTGGGCTC